TTAGGAACATGTGCTCTCACCAGCTGAGCCATCCTGCCACCTGTTGGCAGCTCAGCGGCAGCTCAGCTTGGGTGTAGCTCACTGGCCCATGTGGGAATTGAACCAACGACGCTGTTGCTCAGAGTTCGTGCTCTAACCAACTGTGCCACTCAGCTGGCCCCTGGATTGACTTTTTTATAATTATAAATATCCTTCTTTGTAGGAACAATTTTTGTCTTAAAGTCTCTTTTATCTCAAATTAATATAGCTACTATAGCTCTCTTGGGGTACTGTTTGCATGGTACATTTTTTTCCCATTCTTTTACTGTCAACCTAATCTGTGTGCATATCCCTCCACCAATAGCACAGTAGCTTGATTACTGTAGCTATATAGTAAGTGGTAACATCCAGTAGAGTGATTTTCCACTTTATCCTTCTTTTTAAAAATTGTTTTAGTCATTCTGTCCTTTGTCTTTCCATATATATAAATTTTATAATCAGCTTGTCTGTACACAAATTTTTGCTGGGAGTTTGACAAGGATTGTGTTAAATTTATAGATCAATTTGGGGAGAATTTACATCTTTACCATGTTGACTCTGCTAATCCATGAACATGGTATGTTCCTCCATTTATTAAGTCTTCTTTCATCAATGTTTTGTAGTTTTCAGCACACAATTTCTATACATGATTTATTAGATTTATACCTAAATCTTTACATTTTTGAGCAATTATAAATGGTATTGTATTTTAAATTTCTGTTTCCACATGTTCATTGTTTTTTGTTTTGTTTTTTTAATTGGGGAATTGGGGCAAGGGAACAGTGTTGGGGAATTGGGGAGGGGGACCAGCCACGTTGTTGTTCTTCAATCTTAGTTATGGAGGGTGCCAGTTGCCATCTGGCTGGCTCATGGCCTCTAAGCTCAAGGTGCTGTGTTACAATCTTAGTTGCATGTGGTCGTAACCACCATCTCATGTGAGAGTCGAACCAGCAGCCTTGTTGTTAAGAGCACACACTCTATCCACCAAGCCATCCGAGCGGCAGCTCAGCTCAAGGTGCTGAGTTCAGTCTTAGTTGCGGGCAGGCCTAGCCCACCATTGAACAGGCATTCTTGTTAGGAGCACGTGCTCTTACCAGCTGAGCCATCCTGCCACCTGTTGGCAGCTCATCGGCAGCTCAGATTGGGAGCAGCTCACTGGCCCATGTGGGAATCAAACTGGCGGCCCTTTCAGAGCTTGCACTCTTAAGCTAACTCTTAACCAACGGAGCCACTCAGCTGGCCCTCCACATGTTCATTGTTAACATATAAAAGTGTGATTTTTTTTTTATAAAGAAAATATTGAAAGGAAGACTTTTTTTTTAAAGATTTTTATTGGGGAATTGGGGGATGGGAATAGGGCTGGGGAATTGGAAACAGACAAGTTGCTGTCCTTTTTTTCTTCAGTCTAGTTGTGGAGGATGTTGCTTCACTGGCCCAAGTTGGCACCATCATTGCGCTCTTCCCAGGCAAGGCAGATCAGTCG